CTCCGTCGCATGATCGCCAAGGCTTTGACAGTCTCGTGTTTGGTGGAGCTAGGCGATGTCTTGAGTGACATGCTAGAGACTTCGACTTCATCAATTGTGATGAACAGCGAAGCGATTGCGAAGAGCGCGATAAGGGTGATCAACCTCACAGTTGGATAGGCACGACAAGGAAAGGATGATTTACAGTGGTCGGCAAATTGAATTGTGAGCTATAGCGAAAGCAAGCCACACTACTTCGTCTGAAGAATGTCTTACTTGTTAAGGCAATAGAGAATGCAGTATGGTATGGAATGTTACATGGCGGTCCGCGCTTACTTTTTCTACTCCCCATAATTTTCTAATCTCACTCCTATAAGTAGATACTGTTGGTCATCGTCATTCCACACCTCAAAACGATTCCACACTTTTCTGTCTATGACATCATAATATACGGTGTTTTACACTACCCAAAATGGACACTTATTCATCATTTTGGCCATTAAAAGTAAGGAAATGATCGTTGCACTCATGCAATATTTACTATGTCACAACGCCATTTTTAGTTTACGACATCCTCAAGTAAATGTCGAAACGATTCAGTCTAATAAGCACAAACTACATTATTAACAGACTCATCAGCCCCGCATTTACGCCATAAATAAAGAATATGTCTTCTGATCGTGACGATGCACGTTTTATTTGAACAACCATTCGGAAGCCGGTCTGAGATTATCGAACGCATTCAAGGCGTGTGTAAAGAATCCGGCTCCAATATTCTATTAATGCTCTATTGCTGACAGACGTGTTTAAATCCAATGTGATCGCAGCTGAAAATATGGCGAACGATCTGCCAGTGAGATGAGCCATAAAATTAGTACCAGGCTTACGGGCGTATCATGGAAAGATTTTGGTTTTGAAAGAAAGAATGGCCATTGGCATCGAAAGATGAAAATTAAGGAGCACAATAATAAGCTTCAACGAACATGACCGGGCAACTAGGCTATCATAGTATGAGGGTGGACAAAAAACCGTTTACAGGATTTAGTGGCGGCTTAAGTACCTCCAAAGCAGGGTTTATTATTGTTATGGCAGTAAATTCCACATCACTTGCAACTGCACGAAGCTTTATAACGCCAAGGCGAAATAACGGAAGGCGAAGTAGGCTGGAAGGTCGCCCAATTCAATATTTTATGAGCTTGATGAAGCTAAATGGGCGTTCAATTGTGAACGTATGCCACAAGGCGTTCTACCAATATACTCTTAACACATCCAACCTCCATTCGCTTGGAAAATTTTCTGACATTGGACTGTACTTGTAAAACGAATCGATTTGGGATCCATTTCTTATTATCGTTCACAAAATTGGAATGAAGTCAACGCTCGATTTGCATCTCGTCTTTTATAAAAAAAAGGACAGGAGTGATTACGTCTGGGCGCTTCAACATTTACTATATATATATGTTAGGCTTCGAGACGGAAGTTTCTTGCCACCAAACGCGACTTGGCTCTTGCTTTCACTCTACACGAACTCTTTGCGATTTCGCGCCCATATAATGTGTATCTGGAGGGAACGTTGATAAGAATTTTGATCGAAATAGCCGAAAGCATTTGAGATGATCGAGGAGCTGGACGACTTTCAACTCGCTGGAACAAATGTATTACGCTCAAACGATTGCAATTTTTGAGGAGTGGGCCGCGTTGCGAGTAAAAAAACGGTGCGGTACCATTAATCGTAAAACATTTGGAGACACACGGACTACTCATGAAGAGCAATTCGTACATGCTTGGACAAATGATGTGCAACCTTTTGGAAACACGCCGACTTCAGCAGTCACGTATACTTACTTGGTTTTTAAGAGGTACATTCAAGCGTTAACCTGAAGCTTCAATGTCGTGCAATCGAGGACTATGCGAAAATTGAACATCGAGCACTAGAATTGGACGCAAGAGTTTCTAGCGTACCCACCTTCCCCATGTGTATCACGGAACAATTTCTTATCAGCTATCCCTAGGTCAGGTATCGGTTTTTGCGGTCCATAAGGTGGACAAAACAAAAGATCTCAATATCATATAGAGGAAGTTTTTTCTTGAGCGGCTTAACCCTTAGTGAGATTACCGTGCGCGCATGCAATTCGTGAGATAAAGCACCCAATTATGTTGGCATTAATTTGCCACTACTTGTACTTGCGTGACGTCAGTGCTGAAACTCTGGTAAAAAAATGTCTGCTTCAGTTTCCTCGATGCAGTATATATATCCATCGTTTGAGAAAGACCTGGAAATTCTATCGGTTCATACCAGATATACTCATTGGCTCAACAGTCCCTTGTTCATGCAAAAATTCGTGCAACACCAACACAAAATCTTCAAAATATTGGCGAGCCACGGTTTCCAGGACAAACGGACGATCCGTTGGGTCCAAGAATAAACATTTAAAATCATCTACAAGCCGTGACCCATCATATCTTGAATGCGCATCCAAGTATAATGTTAGATGCAGTTATTGCATAAAAGAAGACAAAAAATTAGCGCAAATGCTCCACGAAGAGAAGTAAGATAAGCGTCCAGAGCTAACCCAGCCAAAACCATAAAGCCGTGTGCATGTTGTAGTGGTGAAATGCGTACTATTCTATTCGTTGATGCTATATTCTTAAATATATACCGCTAACTGCATATTCAGGCCCATTCGGTTCATTTAATATTTCAGCCGTTTTAGACATGGGTTCTGGATCTTCAAGAATTTTGTGGAATAAAGCACCCCCTTTATGAAATAATTTGGCAATGAACTTATTTGCGTTGCATGATCCAACCATTTTTAGTTCCTTCAGGTTATGACGTGGTCTTCGAAGTAATTCGAAAAGTTTTGGAAATGGCAGAGACAAAACATTTTGCAGGGCGTTCGGTACGAGCAGCATTATTTAACAACCCTTCCAGGTCATATTAACTGCTCGAAATAATTGGAAAACATGTATTTTTTACAAAGGCATATTTACGTGTCTACCACGGTTTCTTAAAATCATAAAAGTTTAGGAATAGTAGCTGTACGTGTGAGCTTTTTAGAACGGCAAGACAAAGCACTAACTTTACAGCGCGTTCCCACCAAAGTAACACTAGCATGTATATTTGATGTGTTGACGCGTTGTAGTTGGCAAATATCACTGATGGCAATCCAATGAAACTCAGGACAATTTGACCTTGATGTGGACAAGTCAGAGATGTACCCAACCAAAAATTACACAAGACATCGCCATTGAACAGTAACATGATGTGGGTGATAGCGGCACAGCACTGTCATACACGATACAGCTGCCATAAACTTGACAAAGACAGCCCATTTAAGTATTTCTTCTACCTGTGCTGCAACAAAAAAGAAGCGGGTTGACAACAGGCGGTAGGTCAGAATCCGCTGTCGCTATCATTTAGGGACACAAGCTGTAAATGCGACACGGACCTCCAGATCGTACGACGACTGCGCGTATACTTCCTCTTTTAGCGCTTGCGTCTAGCTCTCAGAGATCAGGCCTGCACATAGCGTGCTCCTTACCGTAAAAATGAGGTAGGTGCAGCAACAACGACAACAGCAACACGTACGATAAAGACCTGCAATCGGTATATTCATCATGGAAGGAGAGTCTATACTACCACCCACCCCCTATTTGGCTAGTAAATCCTCAAGATGATTAGTTATCGTTTGCATGGTAGAGCCACTTGTCAATGAATAGCTCCATCTTATGGGTACACAATTACCTTCGAAGGATTCTGCTGGATTCAAATTGATGTGGAATAGGACGTACGCATATATATTCTCCTTAAAGTTTCCTTTTTATAAAAAGACTACGATATCTACCATCTTCACACATATGAGCGCAATGCTTAGATGCTACCCATAGGAGTGAAACTAGGAATTTTAGGGAGTGGAAATACTGATATTCTAGTCTATTAGCTCAAATAGATCGTACGTAACGGAGTAGTCTGTACATCACCCGAATATATGGAGGGGGGATCGTTAAAATCAAGCAACTCGACAAAAACAAGTAGAAGCCTGCAAGCGTGAGGAAGACCAATCAAAACAAGAAGAACTTAGTAGTATGCTCAGATGGAACTATCTTGATGATTCGAAAAGCAAAATAAATCATCTAACATAAAAAGTTAAACCAGTAGCCAAACAAAGTGTACTAGTACGAGCGTGAAGAGTTGCAGCATCCAACAAAAATATTAGCAATTACGACAGAATTAGCTCCTGCACAACGACAAGGTCGCGGCGATATGAATAGCGGTACAATGGTACATAACAATGATTAATCCTGGAGTCCAGAAAGATTGAAAGACATGGTCGCCCGAGGAGTGACCGCTGCCGGTCGCGGCTCCATCCACAGTTGCTTTGTGGACCCATGCAATTCGGTGTGAGTACGGCGCGGTAATCTAACTGGTGCCATGGGCCATGGGTGTAACGGGGCACCCTAAAGCTTGTACTGATGACAGTACAAGCTACTTATTCTGAAGACACAATAAGGCGGTGCCGCGGAACTTCACGTACACTGGTACGTGCAGAGGAAGACGGTAAGAAGAAGCGAGTACTTGGTTAAAGTAAAAAGTAGAACTGTATTTATCGTAGTTAATGTCTGTCAATAAATCACTGTTTATCCTCATCTAACTATTTCTGAATACAAATGTGCATATCAACTATCTGCTTACCACTCATTGCGTGCGTCTGTCATGGCGTGTCTTCGTTGGTTGATATAATGGCCTATATCAACCAATTAGGATTTACTCGTAAGTGCTGCAGAATATTTGTCCTTATGACAATATTCTGAGAAAATGACTCTTATAGTTTTATTCTATTAACAATTTCTTATAAATTGTTATGTAACGATTCACACCGTTACATCGCCCCCTCTAACCATCGGTCACTTTAGTGACTGATTGACTAAATTGATACTTGTCCCAAACCAATTGGGACAGGGTTTGCACTTGTTGGTCCGAGTACACTCTCCAACAGTTTCATCGCATGGTTAACAAGCCCATGCGATGCGCGAGCAAGGCCGCCGAGAGCGCGTCCGCACGTCTCTGTGAGGACGCCGAAGCAGAAACCGCAGCAACTGATGTCTCATCGGTTGCTGAAGCGACTCAGCCTGTGTCACTTGGTGATACAGGCGCTCGTCATGAAGACACTCATGTCTTCACAGAGTATGAGCTCGGTGTCTCATACTCTCCTGATACGGAAGAGGGATCCGTATCGATGACGATCGAATCCAAGCCGCCTGCCAAGCGTGGCAAGGATGATGCTATGCGTCGTAGAATCTTTGGTTCATCGATGAATCAGATGAACCATCACCGAAGCGGAGGCGCTCGAGGTCGCGAGACTCGGGCGCTCACAATGGTGTCGGTTCTCCTATTGACACCACTTCGCAGCGAGGTACCAGTACTTCTGTCGGCACGTCGTAGGAAGAGCGGGACCGCAGTGTGTTGCGTCTCGCTCCCGAGAAGAAGGCATGGCTGCCTCCAAAGTCAGTCATGAATCGCCTGTCGGCGACGACAAGTGATCGCTATCGAACACGATTGTTCGATTCGTCAAGGATCCATCACCTTGACCCCATTGCGAAAAACTATCGCGCTGAGAATGATTTCTTCATCGATGCTTTCTTCAACATCGATGGTACAATGGGAATCACAAACGTGATGGTCCCTCGCTGCTTCAAGCGTGGAACGCTTACATTTATAACCTTGAGGATGTAGGTCGTGACGTTTGGAACGACAAACTTATCAAAGCTCGTGATAAGTTTGAAAAGCAAACCCCGACAGGTGCACGCTACAAGCTGCATCGTCTGTCTAGGTAGAGTGGGTTACCCTGTCTCTCCTGGGGAGACTCGTGCCCATGTTGTGCGAACAACTCTGCGCGCGCACCTAAGGAGGCTTACCTCCTTACTAGCCCGTAGTGGCGTGCACGTATGTCTAGTGAGATGTACGAAGGGATTGACAACCTGAAATCCCTTTACGACCGTGCCGGGAAGACTTTCTCCGGCGGTCCTTCTGCGGCACAGGATGTGCCGCGTCGTACTGCTCGACCAGACCCAGTACGTCAGCCATCAGTTGGGAGCGGGGCTCCCAAGAATACCAGGACGGGGGATAGCCGCGCCACCGGACGAGATAACTCGTCCGACGTCCGTTCACGTCGCGGTGGTTCAACAGCTGCTCAACTAGATAGCGCTGGCCACCACGAGAGTCCTCTAATAGAGGTGGAAGAGGAGGAAAGACGCTCTCCACACGATCATGGGGATCCGTGTGTTCCCGAGAGCTTCTTTGATCGCGTAACGCAAGGGTTACGCGGCGATCTCGAACATGAGCGGGACAGTCGTCTCCAAATGGCGGACACTGCCTCGAAGCATCGAGCTGAGTTTGCCTTTGCTCAGCTCGAGAATGAGAGATCTCTGACGTCTCTGCGTGACGAGCTGAGGGTATCTCGTGTGGATTGTTGATCGGTCTCGGGATGAGATAACTGCTCTTCAGACCCTTGTCGATGCCCACCATCGGGAGCACAAGGCTTTCTGCGAGATGCTTGAGCGCAAGGGCGTTCTTCATCGGAAGAAGCAGCGTACTGATGGTACGGATTAAGCCGACCAACGTAAAACGTGGGATGCGTTCGCATCTTACGTGGTAACTCGATCGTGTATGCATTGCCTAGGCGGTGCAATACACGAAATGGGCCAATGTACTTGGGTAGTAGTTTACTACTACCCAAGTTAGTCACTACGTGCTTTGGTAGGTTAACCGTAGACAGTAGGACTAAGTCACCTTTATTAAATAAAAGAGTGTTTGCCCTTCCATTCTTATCAGCGTTTTGCTTTTGCTTATCCACCGCTTCGGCGATGGAGTCTTGCACAAAACGGACTACCGTTTCACGAGCCAGTATGAACTCATCTGCTACCTTGTTAGCTTCAGTGTGCTGTGAGCGCACTGCAGCAACATCAACCTTTTCTTCAGTGAGGGCTTGCGCACTCTCACTGGGATCATCTTCTTCAGAAGGTCTTCCGCACTCTCAATGGCATCATCTTCTTCGATATCGATGTTATCGATATCGGCATCAAACGCAACGACCTCTTCGTCAGAGCTTGATGAGCGTTAACCAAATCGGTTTTTGCTCGCGCGAGTCTCTCCCCCCCTTAAACCAGAGTTACACTCTAGTAAGGTGGGTACACGCGGATGGCGTAAGCCATTCACGTAAAACGGTATATGTGTCGTGGACGCATGCACCGAGTTGTTAATGGCAAACTCTACCATGGGCAAAAACTCACTCCAACTCTTAAAGGATTGTACGTATCCTCGATGTATCTCTTCTAGGACACGATTGGATCGTTCCGTCTGACCATCTGACTCTGGATGATCAGATGTCGACATCTTCAAGCGCGTTCCGAGTGACTTGAACACGGAACGCAGAAATCAGCAGTGAATCGTGGATCTCTGTCTGATACGAGTTCACGGGGCAACCCATGAAGTCGGAAGATGGTGTCAGTAAAGACACAAGCACAGCCACTTGCTGTGATTGTCTCTGGTACAGCCACAAGGTGTACCATTTTGCTGAATCTGTCAACAAATACGAGAATACCCGTATTCCCGCGTGCGTCTTTGGGTAACCCGAAGACGAAATCCATTGAGATGGATTCCCAGCACTCAGCCGAAAGTGATAGAGGCTGTAAAGGTGCACGCAGTGAAGGACTTGACTTCACTCGTTGACAGACTTCGCATGCGCGAACATACTTTCGCACAAACTGATACTGGCGGGACCAGTAAAAGTCTCGACTCACCGAGATATGTTTTCTCTCGGCCACGATGTCCTCCTATAGGAGCATCGTGATACTCGAACATGATCCGCAAACGCAGATCAGTATCATCTGGAATGACAACACGTGGTGTGTCACCAGTAACGGCTGCATAATACAGTAAACCGTCGCGAGTAGTGTATCGATCTGATGCAGATCGATACGCAGGCGACAACCGTTTCAACGATTCTCGGGATAGCTGTGAGAGATGTGTCAACAACTTCACAATCTCACCATCTTGGGCGTATGCCCGCCTCACATCATCATGCAACATTGAAGTTGGTACTGAGGACGTCATAACCGCAACAGTGACTGTCTCACTGTTGGGTTTCACGACTGTTTCAAAGTCGGGACGACGTGAAAGTGCATCAGCGACGACATTAAGTCGTCCTGGTTTGTACTCGACCGTAAAGTTGTATTCTGCAAAGAATGACAACCACCGCGCCATTCGTTGTGAAAGGTGCGGGCTGTTTACTGCCGTGTGTAATGACGCATGGTCAGTGTGAAAAATGAAGGGTCTATCTCCTAATAGATAGACTCTGAACTTCGCGAGTGCATACTTCATGGCAAGGAGTTCCTTGTCATGCACTGGATAGTTCCGCTCAGCTGGTTGCAGCTGACGCGACTGATAGCAGACGACGCGTTCAACGCCTTCAAGATCGTACTGCATTAATGCACAGCCGATTGCGAAATCGCTGGCATCACAGACCACATGAAATGGCCTGTACTGATCGGCTATTGCTAGGACTGGGGATTGTATCAAGCTCTGCTTGATACCCTCAAAGGAGCGTTGACATTCAGCGTTCCATAACCACCTCTCGTTCTTTTTCAACAAACGAGAGAGGTGCACAGTCATCTCGGCGTAATTGCGTGAATACTTATGCAAATACGCCGCTAGCCCAAGGAATTTTCGAAGACCTTTCACATCAACCGGCACAGGCCAGTTGGTGATCGCCTTGATCTTTTCGGGATCAGGACGTACACCGTTCTTACCAATGATGCACCCAAGAAGTGGTATTTCGCTTGCTGCAAATACACACTTCTTGAGGTTTGCATACAATTGATGCTTTCGCATGATTGTAAGAACCTGTCGGACGTGGTACCTGTGAACCTCAACGTCCGACTTTCCATCCATAGCTCGGCTATGGATGAATACGTCATCGAAATAACTCGGCGCGAATTCTCGTACTGGTCTCAACAGATGTGATACACATCTGTTGAACGTGGCAGGGGCATTACTAAGCCCTTGTGGCATTACTAGCCATTCCCAGAGCATGCCGCTAGGCGTGCTAACTGCGGTATAGGGTGTATCCCGTTCTCGCATAAGGATTTGATAGAAGCCATCCATCAAATCCATGTACGAAAAGATGGTACTCTTTGACATACCATCAATGATTACGTCCTTCCTCGGTATCGGCGTCTGAGCCGGCACCGTTGCAGCATTCAACTTGTTGAACGCGTGCACTATCCGCCACCCTTCTGTTGCTTTTCGCACACGGAAGGTCGGAGAGCTATGTGGGGATGTTGATTCCCTCACATGGCCCGCAGCTAAACGATTGGCAAAGAACTTGTCGATCGCAAGTACTTGTTCACGAGGCAGTGGCCACTGCTTCATGACACAGTACTTCGAGCCTGGTTTAATCTCGACCTCGTGTCGAATACCTTTATCCTTCGGTAATTCGCACGGAACAGTTTCAGGGAATACATCCTTGAATTCAACCAAATCTTCATAGAGAGGATTTGTCTTGAGCGATTCCCACGATTGGGAGTCATATCGCTCAATTCGTGTCTTCTCATCTAGGACACTCTCGTCCATAGATGAACTACTGAGAACTCTCTCGTTTTCAGTGAACACTGTTGCTGACCTTATGTCAGCTACACACTCTTCGTCAGCGACGAGTACGCAGATCTGCTTGACTTTTTGCCACTACGCAGATCACGCAAGAACCTTTTATGTTCAAGCGTTGGCAACTGAGTGATGTCCGAAGTCAACTTCGGAGGCGCAATCAGATCAAGTGTATAAGCGCCTACACTTGATCCGTCATTGACTATGACATTCAATGTCTCTGTCATTTCCTGGGGACTTATTCTCTCAGGCCTCGAAGGACTTATTCCTTCGGCTTCCCGGGGACTTATTCCCGCGGGTTTCGGACAACTTGTTTTCCGCCGTATTTGTAATCTTGGGACTTATTCCCCTAACTTCCTCTAGCTGTGGTTGCACAACCACAGCGAGATCCTCTACGAACGAATCTCCAGTCGATCTAGGATTATCGTTTCGCTTAACCTGAGCGATCGATTGTTTCTCTTCTAGATGTTCCCCGCTAGGGATACGTCTTTGTCCCGGTCCACCCGACTTATTCGAGTGGTGGACCTTCGGCGCAGCCTGTGTTTCCTCACAGCCGCCGGAACTTTGCTCCGAAGTGTAACCGTTTGGTACACTAAGGTTTTGTGCAGTCGTACTAACGACCGTACCACAAGTGAGGCCATCGCACTCACTCGTAGTACATCCACACGCTTGTGGACGCTCCAAACGTTCATCAGATGGCCATCTGATGAACAAGCGGCAGGCATCGTTACTGTTCGATGTTGCCAGTTTACTCGTGGTTCGTACCTTCTGAGCCACGGTATTCCAAGGATGACATCAAATTTGTCGTCCAAATCCAATACGATAAAGTCATCGTCATATTGGGTATCTTCTAGCGTATAGCGGATCTTCACTATACGCTTCATGACGGTTACGGATGCGCCTGTCGCAAGACGTACCGTCATCCTCGTAGGAGGTGTGTCACATTCACTGAATTTAAAGTGACCATCTTCTAGCGATTGGCGTCGTACAAAATTGTTAGACGCCCCACAATTGACTAGAGCTCGAAGGGACAACTTATTCGTCACTTCGAGTTTCAAGATAATGAGTGAGATCTCATTACCTAGAGCAGCAACGCACAACGTTTGTGTGTTGGGAGCAACCTTCATCAAGAGGCCTACAAATTCTCTTGACGTTGCTAGACCAGTAGGGTGCTCCGCACCTACTGATCCTGTCCGTTTTTTGACGGTCCATCCCGTTGTTGCGTCTTTGCACCAACTGCGGACCCTCGTCCCTGCCCCTTTCTCATGGGTGGACGGTCACTACGCCCAGTGTCGCGAGACACTGGACGAGGGGCACTACACTCGTAAGCGTAGTGTCCTGTTTTTTGACATCTGTTGCATCTCTGCAACTTCTTGTAGCCTGTAGAGCGAGCCTTCTCGCTCTCTACATAACAGAGTTCCATCGGCTCTGGACCTCCGTTGTCATATCGTCTCGGTTGACGATATGATGTCGAGCTGGCGCGAGCCTTTATCAGACTGAAGTCTTCCTACTCCGCAATGGAAATGGCTTGTTCTAGTGAATCTAGTTCAAGTCGGAACAGGTGAGTCTTGACGGGATCATCCGCAAGACCCTGCATGAACACCGAAACCAACGTGTGTTCATCCACCGGGTTGGAACTTATACAACTCGTGAGATGTCGTATATGTTGAGCGTAAGCGTGCACATCACGGTTACCTTGTTTGAGCTTCAAGAGTTCAGTTCGGGCTCTGAACTCAGCTCTAGGCGGTTCAAACGTTTGTCTGAGCCGCGACTTGAAGACTCCCAACGACCCAAACGCACATGGGTCGTGAAACTTGAGCCCCAGTGCCCAAGTCTTGGCACGTCCTGCCAGATTTGACTGGGCAAATGCAACTTGCATTTCCCCATCGTCGATGTGACGCGCCCTTATGGCGTCATCCAATTCGACGAACCATCTCAAGAGGGAGTCCTCTTCGACTCCCCTATACTTGGAGATGTCAATCGTCAATGTCTCGGTTCGACGCGATTGCATCAACCCACCAGCAGCAGCCTGCTGCTGTATCAACAGTTCAAACTGTTGAGCACCCTGTTCTCTCAACAACTCTGCTTGTTGAGAACCTTGTTGGTGAAGCAAGGCTACTTTCTCGCGTTCTGCGTCAAGTTCATTTTGAATGAACTTGGCGATAGTAGCATGTTGGGCATCTCTATTGAGAGCCTCTAGCATGACGCTAACAGCATGGATGCCCATGGTCGAACCCAACCGTTCAACCGCATCCCATTCGACATCGCTCAAATGGGAGTAGCCGTCACGCGTAGCGTGTAAGCTTTGGTCATCTTCATCATCCATATATTCATGCTAGATGTGAACGTGGTCCTTGGACGGACTACGAAGTGCTACCAGGTGTATCGGGGCACCCTAAAGCTTGTACTGATGACAGTACAAGCTACTTATTCTGATGACAGAATAAGGCGGTGCCTCGTAACTTCACGTACACTGGTACGTGCAGAGGAAGACGGTAAGAAGAAGCGAGTCCTCGGTTAGAGTAAAAAGTAGAACTGTATTTATAATAGTTAATGTCTGCAATAAATCACTATTTATCTTCATCTAACTATGTCTAAATACAAATGTGTAAATCAACTATCTGCTCACCACTCATTGCGTGCGTCTGTCGTGGCGCGTCTTCGTTGGTTGATATAATGGCCTATATCAACCAATTAGGAACTACTCGTAAGTGCTACAGAATATTTGTCCTTATGACAATATTCTGAGAATATAACTCTTATAGTTTTATTCTATTAACAATTTCTTATAAATTGTTATGTAACGATTCACCCCGTTACACTATGTGTCATGTTGTTATTGGGAAAATGGCAAGGTAGTCCATGCTCGAAGCCATGCAATCAGTATCAACCTCGGCTAGGCTATCCATAAAAAAAGTACGTTCCGGTCACCGCACATTCAGTTGCAGGTAATTGCTGCATAAGGACTTGTCAGCCAGTATTGTTATCATCACCTTCACGAAATATCACCAAATACACAACTGACCTCGTAAGGTTCATAGTAAAACGGGCGCAACGGGTCTACGTTAATGTTCAGGAGGGATAAAATGGTTCCAACACAATGTCGTAACTGGAGACACTGTTCAGAGTAAAATGCATAACTACCAGCACAAATTGAGCGTCAACACCAGTCCTTTAAACACTTAGCTCTTGACGCAGTGCATCCTCCTACCAAAGCTTTCCTTACCCATGTTGGCACTTGCATCTACCCTCAACCTAACAACTACAGAGAGTGATCGTACAAAGTGTCCATTATTTAGATGTGTTACTTTGATACACCGGAGGCGGCCTCAACACCGCTAGACAAGACGGATCGTAATGGCAAAGGCCCTAATAGTCCTCGTCTCCCGCTCCAAACATGTCCATACCGCCGCCCATGTCCACTTCCTCTTCCTCCTCGACAACCTTCTCCTCCACCCTGGCAGTCTCCGCACCCGAAGCAGCAGCGCCACCAGCAGCAGGAGCGGGACCAGCAGATCCGAACACGGCGAGCTTCTCACTGCCAGCAGCAATGACCTCGTCAATGTTTTTGCCCTCCATGGCCTTGACCACGGCCGCTACGCGCTTCGCGTCGACCTCAACGCCCGACGCGTTCAAAATCCGCGTCACTTCGTTCTCAGTTGGGGACGGTTGGCCACCCAACACAGCAAGCAGGTACGCAGCAATGTAACGCATCTGTCAATAGTACCAAGTCAGAGCTAATCACGTCACTAGATCAACTCATCATCTAGCATCCCTCCGTCCTGTAGTTCGTAAACAAACTCGCACCTTGAATCACTTTAAGGTTTCTCCGAGTCGACCAGATACAAGATGACAGGAAATTAAAGACCCGCATCACGTAAGTCGTGTGTGTACCCCAACCACCCGCTAGACGTCTCTTTCAAAAGACCAGCTGCTAGTCGCTGCTTGACCGATCACAGTGTCTTCCCATCCACTCATTCTCGTCCACTAGGGTTCGAGTTTAACTCGCAAACAGCTCTCGTCCAGTGATTTGAGCTGCTGGCATTTCAGCCAATCACCTCTCACAGCGTGATCACCACCACAAGCTCCAGCCATTCTCCGAACGACGCACTCGCCCCCGCTCTAGACGCCATGGCTCCTCCAGTACGTTCCCTCGCCTCTCTTACTGTCGACTACTATGGCGAGTGTATGAGTTGCTAAGCTGCAGAGTCCTCCTTCTCTGCTCGGGCAAACAGAGTTCCCTTCTCTGTGGGCAATTGACTGGCTGAATCCAGTCCAGTTGATTGCCACGCATATGCAGTGGAAATGATACAAAAAAGAGATGAAGGAACTGTTAAACCCCTGTTTTGAGAAGAGTGACTTGAACGCACTAGCGCTGACTTGAGACACTCGCCACAGACAACTGCTCGACTTGTCTGTGCAAGCTCGACGTGTGCTGATGGCGTGTATTCTGTGTAGCACAAGACCAAGAAGATCAGCAAGAAGCAGCAGCTGAAGTTCACGATCGACTGCACGATCCCAGTGGACGACCACGTGCTGGATCCGGCCTCGTTCGAGAAGTTCCTGCATGACCGAGTCAAGGTTGGAGGCAAGACGGGCGTGCTCGGAGATGCTGTCACGATCACCCGTGAGAAGACCAAGCTGCAGGTAGCGGCGGTGCCTCCATTTAGCAAGCGCTACCTCAAGTATTTGACCAAGAAGTACTTGAAGAAGCAGCAGCTGCGTGACTACCTGCACGTGATTGCTTCGGACAAGAACACGTACGAGCTGCGTTACTTCAACATCCACGATGCTGGCAATGACGCAGAAGAGGAAGACGAGTAGGTTGACTAGTGCTGTTGGTGCTAAAATATGTGAGCTGACAGGCAGTTCTCCTTAGTCGGGATCGCTGGTTGATAATAAAGGTTTGCTTGGTCATGGAGAATCTAAAAGTTGTCTGATGTGGAGCAACGTTATTGTAGATGTGATCGATAAAAACATGATGTACCTTTGTAAAGTCTTGCATGTTTGTGGACAGTTGACGCAGACTCTTGTTGCTAGCGAATACTTACCGAACGTACAGCGTCTACTGTGAACTTATGCGGATATCCAAGTCGCAAAGCTTTAGCGAGAAGAAGAGCCAAGGGCTTCGTTACATTCTATGCACAAGCGCAGCATTAATGGCCTCAATCCACTTCTTTGACCCGTTGACGAGATCATTCAGATGGTACACCCGGTTCGGCTGGTGACAATCGATAGGAAAGAAAGAGAACCGTCAGTCGTTCGTCACCTCTCACCATGCACGTGCCAACTCGAGTATCTTACCGTCACGACGTCAAACGCAGTCGCGCTCTTTGAGTTCACGTAGAGACTCTCTGACCACGGAATCTCGCCCTTTTGCTTCATTCTAATGGGGTCAATGTAGATCAAACGAGGCTTCGATGTCAGAATCAACTGACGTTTCTTCGAGAAGAGCCCCTTGCGCTTGCTGATGAGCCCGCCCATCTTGATCAGCTCATCATCCAGCAAAAACCGGTTCCAAAGCGAGCTCGTACGCCGCATTGCAGGCGGTATTGCAGCCTTCTGCCGGGCCACTTCCACAACGTCCACATGCTCAGCCCTGCACAATTATGAATGATAGTTGGTGTAAACTATCCGTCCTCTGAAACCTACACATGCAGCAGCACACGTACGGAGAAGGCGGAGGGTCCAGTGCCAGTCCCGACGAAACCTGCAACTCGGTCGCCACACCGGCGAACAGCCAGTCTTCAGTCGCGCCATCCTATTCAATGATGCAACGTCGCCAGCGTCAGCGCATCAAGCAACTAGCTCCCAGTGCACACATAATCATCATATCCCTTACATAATCTGTAGGCGGCAGCCGATTGATCTCCGGCACGTACGGCGGCTGCGTGTATCCAACCGAGTCCCACTCGATGCCGTCAAAAAACGGATGCGACTTCAATGCGATATATCCAGTCCCGTCTTCATCTGTCCCGGCGCCAAGACGTTTACTAGGCTCCTGTACGAGAATGCGGTCGACCAGATCCTGTGCGACTGAAGGGAATCCTGACGGGTACGCAAAGTCCTCGGCAGGATGATTCAAAATCTGCTGGAACGTCAGGTACTCGTTCTCGGCCCGAAAAATGGGTCGACCGACGAGCAGCTGAAACACCATGCAAGCCATGGCCCACAGATCACAACCTCGCGACGCTTCCTGGTCGCGCAACACTTCAGGTGATACGTATTCAGCCGTACCGCAAAACGTGTTGTGCCGACTCTCTTCTGTCTCATCCTTTGCTGTACCAAAGTCCGTCACCTTAAGATGGCCATCATCGCTAAGAAGAATATTCTCCGGCTTGAGATCGCGATGGATCACACCGTTCTTGTGCAAGTACTCGAGCGCGACAACCACCTCCGCAATATAGAATCGCGTCAGCTCAAGGGAGCACGCACGATCGGTATAGCCTGCAGCAGCCTGTATCTTTTGATGCTTACTGTCCAAAACAAAGAAAACACCAACGATCAATCCACCATGCACATCTACGTTATTTACATGCTCCGAACTCAATCAGAATCCAACAAAGCACGTACGTAATGACATCAAGCAGCTCGCCCCCTCGACAGAGCTCCATCACCATGTACAAGTAGCTATTGTCCTGCAACACACAGTACCGCATCAACAAAAAGCACCACCTGATGAATACATCCACCCACCCAAAAACAGCAGCAGCAGCAAATGCATCAAATGCATCCATTTAGCCAGCATAGATGTCGTACCTGGAACGTAAAAAAGAGCTTGACCACTCGCTCGTGCGAGATCTTGGAAAACACTTTGCGCTCCATCATGACAAACTTGACCTTCTTCTCCTTGCGAATAAAGCGCTTTTCCATGATCTTGACGGCATACTCCACGCCAGTGTCCTTCATGCGCGAGTGCACCACCTGCAGCACCATCACATCAAAAGGAGCAGCATGAACGTCCCCGCCTTCTCTCTCCAATATCACGTCACAAGCCACGCACTCGAGCGTATGCGCCTTCACCGAGCGTCGTGCCAAACATAAAGTCGGCAGGCGACGGCTTCCTGCCCTGCGAGCGGACGGGCGACGTGCCATCTGCCGAGCCTTCATATAGAGAAGAGTTAGCAAAAGTTAGAGAAAGTTAGAGAAAGTTAGGGAAAGATAGCGAAAGTTAGCGAAAGATAGCGAAAGTTAGCGAAAATAGAGAAAAAGTTAGCGAAAGATAGCGAAAGTTAGCGAAAATAGAGAAAAAGTTAGCGAAAGATAGAGAAACAGTTAGCGAAAGATAGCGAGGGGATGCAATGCGATCTTGATGGGTTACGACGACCGCATTTGAGCGCGAGTGAGCACGTACCGGGTGGTGTGGGCTCTTGCATCGTCCAGAGCGAGCGACGAGTGGGAAATGCCACTAGACGACGACAAACGGAGCTGCTCGCTCGCTCGATTATTCTTCCCCCTCTCACTGGCTGTTGAGGTGCTGCTGTACACGTATAGCACGAAAGGAGGAAGAAGGGGTAGGGGGGATACGGAATATCAAGCGACGATGGACGATTTCTGTGCCACGAAATATCCGGGTTTTATCGTGGCACGCGGCGAGTGACGACAGACCAACTTTATGACTGCATCAAAACGACTAAAGCGAGCACAAACGACCAAAACGAGCACAAATGACCAAAACGAGCACAAACGACTAAAAAGAGCACAAACGACCAAAAGGAGCCTCGGATGCCGTGGCAAGCGTTTTAGGTTGGGACAAGGCAAAGAGCACTTAGCTTGCCCCATCTGTAGTAAAGACTACGACGGGTAGTACGAATTTAGCTGTAACTTGTGTGATTTCATTCAAAAAGCAGTTATCAAGCCTTAGAAAACTCCATACATACAGAAGAAGAAAGACCTAGCTCAACAACACTCGGCAGCTAGTATACGCCACAGCTCTTATGGTATAAAGCTTCCGTCAAGTGCCCGTAAAGACACCAGTAGCCTGCACTTCGTTCACAAATAAAGCGCCGTGTTCAGTCCTGTGTGGTGGACGAAGCCAATCTCATACGTCTTTACAACTCGAACACGATTGTCCCCTCTTTTCTGAACTCAGAGTGATACGACGAACCGACGACTACGACCCAACGAGTTTTGTCGGGACTGTCTCCAAGTATCACGTGTTCGGTCGATGTGCAGCAATCCATCGCATAGCCGTCTTATGTGGTAGCTGTAACACCAAATGGACGACGCCTCGTAACATTTACATGGAAGGACGCTGCAACGCAGAGACTGCAAGTAGGAATCACCTTTGGATCAGAATTACTGAGGACCACGATAGTCCCGTCAGTCTACTCGTCATCTACTTGGAAAAGAGAGGGTGCGAATAAACGAAGAGCTCCAGCGCTTTGGCACATTGTTCTCTTAGCATTCAACCGTCGTTGGCTGAGCAGGTTTGCATCATGTTCACTATATCAGCCTTTGTTGTAAGGTGAGAAAAGATCAGGGGGGATAGATATGCTGGCAATCTCTACCAATGTACATATTCACACACTCGTCGACTTTTTACCTTGATCTAAGCCCACGGCACGCGAACTTACAGTCTCGTGTTCTGCCATCTTGACGGTCGTGTGTATTCAGATCGTGAATATCGGTAGATGTTCTGGTACCGGTTTGGACATTTTCTCATTGCAGCTGCAGCACGTCTTCGCGTAGTTTGCCTGTGTTTGCGTACCCGGAGTCCAGTGTCCCTCCAAACATTAGTCCATCTGAATACATACCAGATGGCGCCTTCGGTGGTGCTGGTATTGGTCTCAACATTACACGAATGCGTCTTATACGCGCACAATGGTTTGTGCTCGAAAATCGACTGACTGTGGCGACGTCGTCCGCACTCACCTAACGGTGTGAAAAGCATATCTAATTGCTCTGCCACCAACTTTTCACTGTCCAAGATCATATTCATCTCTTCGAGACAGCATGAGAATAGCACTTTTCTCACACGACGAGCAGGAACAAGCGTTGTCGATACACATTTCAATCGCCGATGTATGGGATAACGAGCACATTTCATGCCTACGTTCGCGTAAGATTTAGACCAACGCCACATGACGCGAAGGCAATAGCGGATCCGAGTTTGGAGCAACAAAAGTTTCAGTTTTGTTTTTACCGCTCGACTGTAAATCGGTACCAGGTTTTAGTAAGACTTTTTGTACCTAAATGTGCTTTGCTCTTGCAGTCAACTAAGTAATAACTTCCACCCCTGCAGCGACAAGTCGAGACGTGTTTACTGAATTCAGTGCAGTATCCAACAGCTCGATCCTTGTGCTTTCCGATGGATGGTTTTGCATCCCATTCAATCAGCATCGAACGTGATGTGAGCGCTTGTGTTTGTCTATTCTAACATCGTTGATCCAGCCACTCACTGGTAATTGCACTTTCGAGACCCTAAAAACGACCGTATAGTAGACGGCAGGCTATCATCCTTGGCTGTATGTTGAAGTCATTGTGCGTACGATGGTGCTAAAAGTAAAAGCGGTAACAAGTCAAGCCGCCACGACTTCTTAACAGACTAATGTGGCCGTCAAAGGTTGATACGTCCTACGTTTTTGTGCAGACGTGTCGTACATGTGGAGTGCGCACTTGTATGCATACTCAGAAAACGTTTTGCAGCCCGTCTTCTATTGCGTGTAGGGCCACCGGGAGACATAGAGGTAAATGTCTGCTTGCTGGTAGCGATACCCGGTCTGCATCATAGAAAAGTAAGCTGTTGGTCGTAGTTTTGGGCTTTCATGTAGCATCTATGGCGAGATGAAATTGTCACGAAGTAGTTATATGAGATAGAAAGCAATCGCGCCTTTTGCTGGGGAAGGTGCTTTCATTGATACGTTGAACGTTCGCTCTCGATTAGCGTTCCTGGAGACTTTGGACTTGGTCCACAATGGTGGTGAGTGACTGTAAACGGAACGTAAGAGTGACATTTGCGTACAAAACTCAAACATGTACAGTAGTCTCGAGCGAGGAAAGAATGTAACCAACTTGATCACCTGCAATTTACGAGCAAGCAGCACTTCACGAGTAAGCAGCACAGCCGACCACAAGACCAAGTATATACCAGTTGGCAACTCGATTTGTGCCACGTTATCACCCCATAAATCGGACGACACTGCAAGAGAGCGAAAATTGTGCGAGTTCAGGTGGTCAATCTGCACGGAATATTAAGTGCAAGTAACGCACTATCGATGGAGCAACGAGGCATTTCCTGACTGTTTGAAAAAGTTTGTTGTGAGCAAAGTTTGCCAGTAATAACTGATCAATTATCATTCATTGTTGAGTAGTTGCGACGTGCTTTTACTACACCAAGCATCTCACAGGCGTGCCAGACCCTCCTTCATGCAAGATCTTCTAGACACCGCAGACAGAACGACTACTCTGGAGCGAATCCAGCACGAAAAAGCGGAACGCAATAATTTACAGCGGCAGATGCCATGGATCGAGTCTGGGTCGATAAACATTAATTCTCAGTACACAATCGAGCTCACCGAATGTAATTTTCAGTGCAAAAAGTCGTTGTTATTGTCGACCAGAAAATGCACCTGTAAGGCATGCTACACGCTGTCAGCGTAAATCAACGCAGAAGCGTACCCTACATCGTCAAAAGCTGATGGTTTGTCGTTTATAAAATTACGAACCGGGGATGCTGATGTGAGCTTTGAGCGTAACCATGTAACGGGGCACCCTGAAGCTTGTACTGGTAACAGTACAAGCTACTTATCCTCATGACAGAATAAGGCGGTGCCTCGGAACTTCACGTACACTGGTACGTGCAGAGGAAGACGGTAAGAAGAAGCGAGTACTTAGTTTAAGTAAAAAGTAGAACTGCATTTATCATAGCTAATGTCTGCAATAAATCACTATTTATCCTCATCTAACTATGTCTAAATAAAAATGTGCATATCAACTATCTGCTCATCACTCATTGCGTGCGTCTGTCGTGGCGCGTCTTCGTTGGTTGATATAATGGCCTATATCAACCAATTAGGAACTACTCGTAAGTGCTACAGAATATTTGTCCTTATGACAATATTCTGAGAATATAACTCTTATAGTTATATTCCATCAACAATTTCTTATAAATTGTTACGTAACGATTGACCCCGTTATATCATCCCCCCTTGACCATCAGTCACTCTAGTGACTGATTGACTAAATGGATACTCGTCCCAAACCAATTGGGACAGGGTTTGCACTTGTTGGTCCGAGTCCACTTTCCAACATTTGATCGCATGGTTAACAAGTCCATGCGGTGCGCGAATCAGGCCGCCGAGAGCGCGTCCGCACGTCTCTGTGCGGACGCCGAAGCAGAAACCGCAGCAACTGATGTCTCATCGGTTGCTGAAGCGACTCAGCCTGTGTCACCTGGTGATGCAGGCGCTCGTCATGAAGACACTCATGTCTTCACAGAGTATGAGCTCGGTGTCTCATACTCTCTTGATACGGAAGACGGATCCGTATCGACGGCGATCGAATCCAAGCCGCCTGCTAAGCGTGGTATGGATGATGCTATGCGTCGTAGCATCTTTGGTTCATCTGATGAATCAGATGAACCATAGCCGAAGCGAAGGCGCTCGAGGTCGCGACTCGGGCGCTCACAGTGGTGTCGGTTCTCCTATTGACACCACTTCGCAACAAAGTGACAGTACTTCTGTCGGCACGTCGCAAGAAGAGCGAAACCGCAGTGTGTTGCGTCTCGCTCCCGAGAAGAAGGCATGGCTGCCTCCCAAATCCGTCATGGATCACTTGTCGGCGACGACGAGTGATCGTTATCGAACACGATTGTTCGATTCCTCAAGGATCCATCACCTTGACCCCAGCGCGAAAAACTATCGCGCTGAGAATGAGTTCTTCATCGATGCTTTCTTTAAACATCGATGATACAATGGGAATCACAAACGTGATGGTCCCTCACTGCTTCAAGCGTGGAACGCCTACATCCATAACCTTGAGGATGTAGGTCGTGACGTTTGGAACGACAAACTTATCAAAGCTCGTGATAAGTTTGAAAAGTGAACCCCGACAGGTGCACGTTACAAGCTGCATCGTCTGTCAAGGGAGAAAGGATTACCCTGTCTCTCCTGGGTATACTCGTGCCCTTGTTGTGTGAACAACTCTGCGCGCGCACCCAAGGAGGCTTACCTCCTTACCAGCCCGTGGTGGCGCGTACGTATCTCTACTGAGATGTACGAAGGGATTGACAACTTGAAACCCCTTTACGACCGTGCCGGGAAGAATCTCTCCAGCGGACCTTCTGCGGCACAGGATGTGCCGCGTCGTACTGCTCGACCAGACCCAGTACGTCAACCATCAGTTGGAAGCGGGGCTCCCAAGGATCCCAGGACGGGGGATAGCCGCGCGACCGGACGAGGTAACTCGTCCGACGTCCGTTCACATCGCGGTAGTTCAACAGCTGCTCAACCAGATAGCGCTGGCCACCTCGAGAGTCCTCTAAAGGAGGTGGAGGAGGAGGGAAGACGTTCTCCAAACTATCGTGGGGAAGCGTGTATCCCCGTGAGCCTCTTTGATCGCGTAACGCAAGGGTTACGCGGCGATCTCGAACATGAGCGGGACAGTCGTCTCCGACTGGCGGACACTGTCTTGAGGCATCGAGCTGAGTTTGCCTTTGCTCAGCTTGAGAACGAGAGAGCTCTGACGTCTCTGCGTGACGAGCTAAGGGTAGCTCGTGGAATGGTTGAGCGGTCTCGGGTTGAGACAACTGCTCTTCAGACCCTTGTCGATATCCACCATCGGGAGCAAGGCTCTCTGTGAGATGCTCGAAAGCAAGAGCGTTCTTCATCGAAAGAAACAGCGTACTGATGGTACGGCTTAAGCCGACCAACGTAAAACGTGGGATGCGTTCGCATCTTACGTGGCAACTCAATCGTGTATGCATTGCCTAGGCGATGCAATACACGAAATGGGCCGATTTACTTAGGTAGAAGTTCACTACTACCCAAGTTAGTCACTACATGCTTTGGTAGATTGACCGTAGACAGTAGGACTAAGTCACCTTTATTAAATAAAAGAGTGTTTGCCCTTCCATTCTTGTCAGCATTTTGCTTTTGCTTATCCACCGCTTCGGCGATGGAGTCTTGCACAAAATGGACTACCGTTTCACGAGCCAGTATGAATTCATCTTATGACTCGTTAGCTTCAGTGCGCTGTGAGTGCACTGCAGAAACATCAATCTTTTCTTCAGTGAGGTCTTCCGCGCTCTCACTGGCATCATCTTCTTCGATATCGATGTTATCGATATCGGCATCAAACGCAATGACCTCTTCGTCAGAGCGTGATGAGCGTTAACCAAATCGGTTTTTGCTCGCGCGAGTCTCTCCCCCCCTTAAACCAGAGTTACACTCTAGTAAGGTGGTTTTTTTTACACGCGGATGGCGCAAGCCATTCACGTAAAACGGTGTATGTGTCGTGGACGCATGCACCGAGTTGTTAATGGCAAACTCTACCATGGGCAAAAACTCACTCCAACTCTTAAAGGATTGTACGTATCCTCGAAGTATCTCTTCTAGGACACGATTGGATCGTTCCGTCTGACCATCTGACTCTGGATGATCAGATGTCGACATCTTCAAGCGCGTTCCGAGTGACTTGAACACGGAGCGCCAGATATCAGCAGTGAAGCGTGGATCTCTGTCTGATACGAGTTCACGGGGCAACCCATGAAGTCGGAAGATGGTGTCGATAAAGACACAAGCACAGCCACTTGCTGTGATTGACTCTGGTACAACCACTAGGTATACCATTTTGCTGAATCTGTCAACCAATACGAGGATAACCGTATTCCCGCGTGCGTCTTTGGGTAACCCGAAGACGAAATCCATTGAGATGGATTTCCAGCACTCTGCCGGAACTGGTAGAGGCTGTAAAGGTGCACGTAGTGAAGGACTTGACTTCAATCGTTGACAGACTTCGCATGCGCGAACATACTTTCGCACAAACTGATACTGGCGGGGCCAGTAAAAGTCTCGACTTACCGTGAGATATGTTTTCTCCCGGCCACGATGTCCTCCTATAGGAGCATCGTGATACTCGAACATGATCCGCAAACGCAGATCAGTATCATCTGGAATGACAACACGTGGTGTGTCGCCAGAAACGGCTGTATAATACAGTAAACCGTCGCGAGTAGTGTATCGATCTGATGCAGATCGATACGTAGACGATAATTGTTTCAACGATTCTCGAGAAGGCTGTGAGAGATGTGTCAACAACTTCACAATCTCACCATCTTGGGCATACGCCCGCCTCACATCATCATGCAACATTGAAGTTGGTACTGAGGACGTCATAACCGCAACAGTGACTGTCTCACTGTTGGGTTTCACGACTGTTTCAAAGTCGGGACGACGTGAAAGTGCATCAGCGACGACATTAAGTCGTCCTGGTTTGTACTCGACCGTAAAGTTGTATTCTGCAAAGAATGACAACCACCGCGCCATTCGTTGTGAAAGGTGCGGGCTGTTTACTGCCGTGTGTAATGACGCATGGTCAGTGTGAAAAATGAAGGGTCTATCTCCTAATAGATAGACTCTGAACTTCGCGAGTGCATACTTCATGGCAAGGAGTTCCTTGTCATGCACTGGATAGTTCCGCTCAGCTGGTTGCAGCTGACGCGACTGATAGCAGACGACGCGTTCAACGCTTTCAAGATCGTACTGCATTAATGCACATCCGATTGCGAAATCGCTGGCATCACAGACCACATGAAATGGCCTGTCCTGATCGGCTATTGCTAGGACTGGGGATTATACCAAGCTCTGCTTTATACCATCAAAGGAGCGCTGACATTCAGCGTTCCATAACCACATCTCGTTCGTTTTCAACAAACGAGAGAGGTGTACAGTCATCTCGGCGTAATTGCATGAATACTTATGCAAATACGCCGCTAGCTCAAGGAATTTTTGAAGACCTTTGACATCAACCGGCACAGGCCAGTCGGTGATCGCCTTGATCTTTTCGGAATCAGGACGTACACCGTTCTTACCAACGATGCACCCAAGAAGTGGTAATTCGTTTGCTGCAAATATACACTTCTTGAGGTCCGCATACAATTGATGCTTTCGCATGATTGTAAAAACTTGTCGGACGCGGTACCTGTGAACCTCAACGTCCGACTTTTCATCCATGGCCCAACTATGGATGAATACGTCATCGAAATAATTCGGTGCGAATTCTTGCACTGGTCTCAACAGATGTGATACACATCTGTTGAACGTGGCAGGGGCATTACTAAGCCCTTGTGGCATTACTAGCCATTCCCAGAGCATGCCGCTAGACGTGCTAACTGCGGTATAGGGTATATCCCGTTCTCGCATAAGGATTTGATAGAAGCCATCCATCAAATCCATGGACGAAAAGATGGTACTCTTTGACATACCATCAATGATTACGTCCTTCCTTTGGTATCGGCGTCTGAGCCGGGACCGTTGCAGCATTCAGCTTGTTAAATGCATGCACTATCCGCCACCCTCCTGTTGTTTTTCACACACAGAAGGTCGGAGAGCTATGTGGGGAAGTTGCTTCCCTCACATGGCCCGCAGCTAAACGATCGACAAAGAACTTGTCGATCGCAAGTACTTGTTCACGAGGCAGTGGCCACTGCTTCATGAAACAGTACTTCGAGCCTGGTTTAAGCTCGACCTCGTGTCGAATACCTTTATCCTTCGGTAATTCGCACGGAACAGTTTCAGGGGATACATCCTTGTGTTTAACCAAATCTTCGAAGAGAGGACTTGTCTTGAGCGATTCCCACGATTGGGAGTCATATCGCTCAATTCGTGTCTTCTCATCTAGGACACTCTCGTCCATAGATGAACTACTGAGAACTCTCTCGTTCTCAGTGAACACTGTTGCTGACCTTATGTCTGCTACGCACTCGTCGTCAGCGACGAGTACGCAGATCTGCTTGACTTTTTGCCACTACGCAGATCACGCAAGAACCTTTTATGTTCGAGCGTTGGCAACTGAGTGATCTCCGAAGTCAACTTCGGAGGCGCAATCAAATCAAGTGTATAAGCGCCCACACTTGATCCATCATTGACTATGGCATTCAATGTCTCTGTCATTTCCTGGGGACTTATTCCCTCAGGCCTCGAAGGACTTATTCCTTTGGCTTCCCGGTGACTTATTCCCTCGGGTTTCCGGGAACTTTTCCACCGTATTTGTAGTATCGGGACTTATTCCCTTAACTTCCTTCAGCTGGGGTCGCGCAACCACAGCGAGATCCTCTACGGAAGACTCTCCAGTTGATATAGGATTATCGTTTCGCTTAACCTGATCGATCGATTGTTTCTCTTCTAGATGTTCCCCGCTAGGGATACATCTTTGTCCCGGTCCACTCGACTTATTCGAGTGGTGGACCTTCGGCACAGCCTGTGTTTCCTCGCAGCCGCCGGAACTTTGCTCCGAAGTGTAACCGTTTGTCACACTAAGGTTTTGTGCAGTCGTACTAACGACCGTACCACAAGTGAGGCCATCGCACTCATTCGTAGTACATCCACACGCTTGCGGACGCTCCAAAACGTTCATCAGATGGCCATCT